TGTAACCGTCCACGGATAGTTTGTAACCGTCCACGGATAGTTTGACCGTCCACGGATAGTTGGCAAACGTACCACGGATAGTTTAAACCGTCCACGGATAGTTCCACTGTGTACGGATAGTTGGCAACCTTCCACGATAGTTTGCAAACCGTCCACTGATAGTTTGTAACCGTCCACGGTTAGTTGGTAACCGTCCAGGGATAGTTCTGAACCATCCACGGATATGTGGTAAACCGTCCACGGATAGTTGGTAACTGCCAACTGATAGTTTGCAACCGTCCACGGATAGTTTCTAACCGTCCACGGATATTGGTAACCGTCCACTGATAGTTTGTAACCGTCACGGATAGTTTGTAACCGTCCACGGATAGTTTTCCAACCGTCCACGGATAGTTGGCAACCCTTCACGGATAGTTGGTAACCGTCCACGGATAGTTGGCTAACCGTCCACGGATAGTTCTGGAAACCATCCACGGATAGTTGGTAACCGTCCACGGATAGTTGGCAAACGTCACGGATAGTTGGTAACCGTCCACGATAGTTTCAACTGTCCACGGATAGTTGGCAACCTTCCACGGATAGTTTGCAACCTTCACTGATAGTTTTGTAACCGTCCACGGTTAGTTGGTAACCGTCCAGGATAGTTCTGAACCATCCACAGATAGTTGGTAACCGTCCACGGATAGTTGGTAACCGCCAACTGATAGTTTTTCAAGCGTCCTACGGATAGTTTCTAACCGTCCACGGATAGTTGGTAACCGTCCACTGATAGTTTGTAACCGTCCACGGATTAGTTTGTAACTGTCCTCGGATAGTTTTCAATGTGTCCAGGATAGTTGGCAACCCTTCACGGATAGTTGGTAACCGTCCACGGATAGTTGCAACGTCACGGATAGTTGTAACCGTCCACGGATAGTTTCCAACTTCCACGGATAGTGCAACCTTCACGGTAGTTTGCAACCGTCCACTGATAGTTTGTAACCGTCCACGGTTAGTTTGTAACCGTCCAGGGATGGTTCTGAACCATCCACGGATAGTTGTAACCGTCCACGGATAGTTGGTAACCCCAACTAATAGTTTGCAACCGTCCACGGATAGTTTCTAACCGTCCACGGATAGTTGGTAACCGTCCACTGATAGTTTGTAACCGTCCACGGATAGTTTTTAACCGTCCACGGATAGTTTTCACCGTCCACGGATAGTTTGTAAACGTCCACGGATATTGCAACCATCCACAATTGTTGGCAACCGTCCACTGATAGTTTGTAACCGTCCACGGATAGTTGGTAAACCGTCCACGGATATTCTGAACCATCCACGGATAGTTGGTAAACCGTCCACGGATAATTTGTAACCGTCCACAGATAGTTTGTAACCGTCCACGGATAGTTTGCAACCGTCCACGGATAGTTGGCAACCGTCCGCGATAGTTTGCAAACCGCCAGTGATAGTTTGTAACCGTCCACGGATAGATGGAACCGTCCAGGATAGTTTTAACCATCCACAGATAGTTGTAACGTCCACGGATAGTTGGTAACCGCCCACTGATAGTTGCACCGTCCACGATAGTTTGTAACCGTCCACGGATAGTTTGCAACGTCCACGGATAGTTGGCAACCATCCGTCCCGGATAGTTTGCAACCGTCCACCGATAGTTTGTAACCATCCATGGATAGTTTGTAACCGTCCACGGATAGTTTGCAACCGTCCGCGGATTAGTTTGAACCGTCTACGATAGTTTGTAACCGTCCACGGATAGTTGTAACCATCCACGGATAGTTCGAACCATCCACGGATAGTTGGTAACCGTCCACGGATAGTTTGGTTAACCGTCCACGGATAGTTTGTAACCGTCCACGGATAGTTTGCAACCGTCCAGGGATAGTTGGCAACTGTCCACAGATAGTTGGAACCGTCCACGGATAGTTTGTAACCGTCCACGGAGTTTTCAACCTCACGGATAGTTTGGCAACCATCACGGATAGTTGGTAACCGTCCACGGATAGGTTTGTAACCGTCCACGGATAGTTTGTAACCGTCCACGGATAGTTTGCAACCGTCCACGGATAGTTGGCAAACGTCCACGGATAGTTGGTAACCTCCACGGATAGTTTCCAACTGTCCACGGATAGTTGGCAACCTTCCACGGAGAGTTTGCAACCGTCCACTGATAGTTGTAACCGTCCACGGATAGTTGTAACCGTCCAGGGAAGTTCTGAACCATCCACGGATAGTTGGTAACCGTCCACGGATAGTTGGTAACCGCAACTGATAGTTTGCAACCGTCCACGGATAGTTTCTAACCGTCCACGGATAGTTGGTAACCGTCCACTGATAGTTGGTAACCGTCCACGGATAGTTGGTAACCGCCCACTAATAGTTTTAACCGTCCACGGATAGTTTGTAACCTCCACGGATAGTTGGCAACCGTCCCCGGATAGCTTGTAACCGTCCACGGATAGTTTTGCAACCGTCCACGGATAGTTGGCAACCGTCCCCGGATAGTTTGCAACCGCCACCGATAGTTTGTAACCGTCCACGGATAGATTGTAACCGTCCACGGATAGTTTTGCAACCGTCCACGGATAGTTGGCAAACGTGCACGGATAGTTGGTGACCGTCCACGGATAGTTTGTAACCGTTCTCGGATAGTTGCAACTGTCCACGATAGTTGGCAACCTTCCACGATAGTTTGAACCGTCCCACTGATAGTTTGTAACCGTCCCCGGATAGTTGGTAACTCCAGGGATAGTTCTGAACCATCCACGGATAGTTGTAACCGTCCACGGATAGTTGAGTAACCGCCAACTGATAGTTTGCAACCGTCACGGATAGTTTCTAAACCGTCCACGGATAGTTGTAACCGTCCACTGGATAGTTTGTAACCGTCCACGGATAGTTTGTAACCGTCCACGGATAGTTTTCAACCGTCCACGGATAGTTGGCAACTCCACGGATAGTTGGTACCTCAACGGATAGTTTGTAACCGTCCACGGATAGTTGCACGGTCACGATAGTTTGTAACCGTCCACGGATAGTTGCAACCGTCCACGATAGTTGCAACCGTCACGGATAGTTGGTAACCGTCACGATTGTTTCCGAACTGTCCACGGATAGTTGGCAACCTTCCCACGGATAGTTTGCAACCGTCCATGATAGTTTGTAACCGTCCACGGTAGTTGTGTAAACCGTCCAGGATAGTTTGAACCATCCACGGATAGTTGTAACCGTCCACGGATAGTTTGGTAACCGCCACTATAGTTTGAACGTCCACGGATAGTTTCTAACCGTCCACGGATAGTTTGGAACCGTCCACGATAGTTTGTAACCGTCCACGGATAGTTTGTAACCGTCCACTGATAGTTTAACCGTCCACACGGATTAGTTTTGTAACCGTCCACGGTAGTTTAACCCATCCACAGATTGTTGGCAACCGTCCACGATAGTTTGTACCGTCACGATATTGGTAACCGTCCACGGATAGTTTGAACCCCATCCACGGATGTTGGTAACGTCCACGGTAATTGTAACCGGTCCACAATAGTTTGTAACCGTCCACGGATAGTTTGCAACGTCCACGGATAGTGGCAAACTTCCACGCGATATTGGTAACCGTCCACAGATAGTTTGTAACCATCCACGGATAGTTTGCAACCGTCCACGGATAGTTGCAACCGTCCGCGGATAGTTTGCAACCGTCCAGTGATAGTTTGTAACCGTCCACGGATAGATGGTAACCGTCCAGGGATAGTCTGAACCATGTCCACCAGGATATTTGTAACCGTCCACGGATAGTTGTAACCGCCAACGATAGTTTGCAACCGTCACGGATAGTTTGTAACCGTCCACGATAGTTTGCAACCGTCCACGGATAGTTTTGGCAACCGTCCCCTCATAGTTTGCAACCGTCCACGGATAGTTGTAACCTCCACGGATAGTTTGTAACCGTCCATGGATAGTTTGCAACCGTCCGCGATAGTTGCAACGTCTACTGATAGTTTGTAACCGTCCACGGATAGTTGGTAACCTCCACGGATAGTTCTGAACCATCCACGGATAGTTGGTAACCTTCCACGGATAGTTGGTTTAACCGTGCCACGATAGTTTAACCGTCCACGGATAGTTTGCAACCGTCCAGGATAGTGGCAAAGTCCACGATAGTTGGGAACCGTCCACGGATAGTTTGTAACGTCAAGGATAGTTTAACCGTCCACGGATAGTTGGCAACACTCTCGGATATGGTTACTCAGACTAGATGAGTTGGAACGTCTTAACAGTCCGCCGATAGTTGTAACCGTCCACGTAGTTGGTAACCGTCCAGGGATAGTTCTGAACCATCCACGGATATTTGGCAAACCGTTCACGGATAGTTGGTAACCATCCCACGGATTAGTGTTTGTAACCGTCCACGGATAGTTTTGCAACCGTCCACGGATAGTGCAACGCTCCACCGGATAGTTTGAACCGTCCACCATTAGTTTGTAACCGTCCACGGATAGTTTGTAACCGTCCACGGATAGTTTGCAACCATTCCACGGATAGTTGGTGTTCGGGTTTTCACGTAAATTTTCATTGCGTAGTCGATTAAGGTTTTGGTTTAGTGTAATTAAGCCTTAAAATGTATCTTGTGACTTGGTGACGCAGCTTTTCTGTTTACCATATTTTCTAATTGCTTCGATTATAATAATTACACTTTCGTTTGAGCCAACTGACGTTAATTGAATAAAGCATCGTCATTGGTAGTTTATTTTGGATTAATTAGTTTACAGTATATATATAGAACGTTGAAGTTTTGTTATTGCGTGCGTGCAACTGGGGGTGGTTGTGCGAACCCAGCTGTGATTTGCTGAATGATATGAAATGTGAAAAGCTCAAATGACTTTTTCTTCAGTGTTTTCTCTGGAATACAAAGTTTAAAAAGAATCAGCAAGATAGATCCTGAGAGGTCTAAAAATCTGGTCCACCGAACCTAGATGCATTTGTGTTCCAGTGAATGAACTATGGATGAACTGAAGAAGAAGAGAAACATCAGAGGAGGACATAGAGCTTTTGCAACGCAGTTGATCAGACAGATTGAAGATAGTCTGGAAGATCAATTGAAGTTGAAGCAGCTTGAGATACAGCTAGATGAGAAATTTGAAGTCTTAGGAAAATTGGATGACGAAATTTTGGGTCTTGTAAGCGAAATTGATGAAGATGGTTTGGGATGCTTACAAGAAATTTCTGAGGCTGGAGAGATGAAGGAAAAAATAAATCTAGCGCTGCTCAAGTTGAAGAGTTTAGTGAAGAATGAGAAGCAGTTGGAATCGCAAAAGCCTAATTTAACAAGACATGGCTCAGAAGAATCAGTTTATTCTGTAGAAAGTTCAGCGTCGTCAGCAACTCGTAAAGTTCGTGCGAAGCTACCGAAGTTGGAACTGAAAAAATTTAGTGGCCGCCCCCAAGATTGGCAGGAGTTCTGGGATAGTTATAAAAGTGCGGTTTACGAAAACGAAGAGATTTCAAAGATTGACAAGTTTTCGTATTTGAAGCACTATTTGGAAGAGCCTGCCAAAAAAGTAATTGCTGGACTTGCTTTGACTGAAAAAAATTATGCCGTAGCTGTCGATTTGCTTGAACAGAGATTCGCGCGACCAACGACGATAAAAAGGGCACATATCAACGAGCTTCTGAATTTAGATGCGGTTTTTAATGAAAAACATGTTAAGAAGATGCGAGAACTTTATGATACTATTGAGACACACCATCGTGGATTGAAAGCCTTAGGGGTCGACGAAATATCATACTCGAACATAGTTGTACCTGTTTTAATGGACAAGGTTCCAGAGGCTGTTCGCCTGAACATGATTCGAGGAAGTAAGAATCACCAAGAATGGGATATGGAAGAAATGCTTGTGGCTTTTCGAGAAGAATTGGAGATTCGTGAACAGCATGTTTCGATTTCAATGGCTTTGGGAAATGGGACCGTTTCTGGTAGGACGTCACCAGAACGGCGAAGTGAGATGAAACCGAGGTTTCCTGGTCGAACAACAACAGCGAGTGCGTTGTTTACGAAACAAGATGGTGGATTTGCGAGAAGAAAGTTCTGTGTATTTTGTAAAGAAGATCATGAAGAAGCCGATTGTCACAACGTCAGGAACAAGGAAGAAAGGAAGGATCTTGTTTTCAAATATGGACGTTGTCTTTTGTGTTTAAAAAAGGGACACAGAGCTTATCAGTGTCATTCGAAGGAAAAATGTAAGTTGTGTAACAAACGACACCATGTTGCAATTTGTAATGTTGTTGGTAGTCAGCCTAGTGCTAACCAAGCTCGTGTCAAGACTGTTGATACTACTGTTACCACTTCTTGTGTAAGTAATATAGATTCTGGGGGGAGAGCAGTCTTGCAAACCGCCAAGGCCGTAGTTACAGGTAGCATAAGGAATGTTAAGGCACGTGTTCTTTTTGACTCAGGTAGTCAGAGGAGTTTTGTAACACGAAGTATGGTAGAAAAACTTGGTTTGAACCCCATTAAGCAAGTGCGCTTAGGTATAAAGACATTTGGATCTCAAAATATGGACGAGAAGATAAGAGATGTGGTCGAGTTAGAGTTGAAAGGAGTTGAAAGTGGAGGGAAAGTGAAAATACAGGCCTTTGTTGTTAATGAAGTTTCAGAAATACGCAATGAACATGTTGAAATATTGAAGTATGATTATAAGCATCTTACTAACTTGTGGTTTTCAGATGTTTGTAGGCACGAAGATTCCCTTATTATAGACATTTTAGTTGGAAGCGATTGGCTTTGGACGCTTCAAGATGGTCGTATAATACGAGGGGAGCCAGGAGAGCCTGTTGCCATTCATACTAAGATTGGATGGGTTGTGTCAGGGCCAATAAAGGGTAAGTTAACTGATTTGGCAGAATCTTGCTCTTCAAATTTGGTTGTAAATGGTAATGGTATAACAGTTAATTTGATGCACCAGAATAAGGAACAGGAATTAGAACAAGACATTAAAAAACTGTGGGATCTTGAGACTTTAGGAATTAAAAGGCAAGATAAGGTGCATGAAGAATTTTTGGATAATATAGAGTTTAAAGGAGATAGATACTCGGTTTGTTTGCCTTGGAAAATGGGGCACAAGCCCCTTTCTACTAATTATACTCTTAGTCTCAACAGATTGAAGGGGCAGTTGAAAAAGCTCAAGGAGAAGCCTGCAATAATGGAAACTTATGATGGTATTATAAA